GCTGAATCCTCAGGCACCTCTTGGAGAGCTCTGTAACTTTGGGCAGGGTCTTGTTTCTCGGATGCCTCCAGCTTTGCCAGACGGATGGATGAACTCACTGAGAACCGCCCACGGGTGCTGGAGACAGGTTGGCTCCACGTTCTTAAAATGGGGGACATGGAGTATTTGTCAATGATTCCCATCTTCCCCACCCACATGGGCCCCTGCCAGGCAGGCTCACCTTCAGCGCTCCTCCAGCTTCTTCATCTCCAACAAGACGATGTGTGACCTTTGATGCAGTGTTGCTGGTAGAGGGATCTGGGGGTCTCACAGTCCCCCTGAACTCAGTGTTACCAAAGTCAAGGGGAGAAGTGGGGTCTTCTCCTCTGAGGCTGCCAGAGGGTCTTGACCCTGAACTTCTCGGCTTCAAAGCTTGGGGCCCTGGGCGCTCACTTAACCCAGGAGCTGAGTGAGTCCTTGTCTTCATCATTCAGATAATAGTGACACTTGCTAGGGCCGCTCTTTTGTAATGGGTCACTTCTGCCTGCCCTGAGAATGTTTGAAGGTGGGTGACAGGACCAAGTGACGCGGCAGGTGACAGGAACCACACATCCTCCACTCTGTTCTTCTCCGGGAGCCTGCAGGAGACCCCACAGCCTTCTAAGGACAAGCCGGCTGCCCACCCAGTGGTCAGCTGAGCAGAGCAGAGGACTGTTGAGTCAGCCCAAGCCATTTTTAAAGATCTCTTCTGAGTGGCAAACTGTTGTCATCAGCCAGGACTCACTGGTGCCATGGTGGCTCCCCGGGGGCAGTGTACAGGCTGAGGGTGGCTGAGGTTGAGCCCCTGACCCTCTGTCTGGGGGCCAGGCCCCCCAAGGTGTCTGCAGAGAAGAAAAGACGGCACAGAAGTTGCTGGCAATTCTGGGCCCTTCAGTGCTGGTCAGCTGCCCCCAGCCCCCACACTTTGGTGTATTGAAAGGAGGGTGTTCTGACCTGGGCCACACTGTCACACTCAGTCAGCTGGCAGGCCTCGCTCGGTCTGAGGAGCCTTAGCTTCAGAGTCTCTCCTGGAATTACTTTCAGTCTTCTTCGGGAGTCCCGCCTTCTTCTGTTCTCATCCCTCAGTGCCATCTTGTTGTCCACTAGCAGCCCGACCACCGAGGGCCGTTTTCAGTGCAGCGTGGAGCAGTGGGTGATGGACGCTTCCCCTGGAGCCTGACCCTCCCCCCCTCCCTGGCCTGCAGGGACCAGCAGGGAACCTTCCGCCTCCCCACTTCCCCTGAGGCTGCTGCTCCTTCATGGTGAGGGGTGATGACCCCATCTTCTTTGGGGGTTCAGAGTCACAAATAAAATCAGTGTGCGTGCCGGGCACAGTGGCATGACTGTAATCCCAGCAGCTTGGGAGGCCGGGGCAGGAGGATGATGAGTTCAAAGCCAGCCTCTGCAAAAAGTGAGGCACTAAGCAACTCTGTGAGAAATAAAATAAAAGAAAGGGCTGGGGATGTGGCTCAGTGGTCAAGTGCCCCTGAGTTCAATCCCCAGTACCCCACCCCCCCCATAAATAGTGTGTGTGTGTGTGTGTGTGATTTATTTTTACCATTTTATTTCTTAAAAAATTTTATTGGTGCAATATAATACATAATAGCAGCATTAATTGTGTCATGTTCCTACATGTGTATAGCCTAATCTGGTCAATCTCATTCCCAGTACCTGCCTCTTCCCTCCCCTCTGACCTCTCCCTGGTAACTTCCTCTACTCTTCTATTTTCATGAGATTTCACCCTCCCCCCTTTTTTCCTAACTATGTGAGAGGAAACATAGGGCCCTCAACTCTCTGAGCTTGACTTATTTCACTTAACACAATGGTCTCATTTTCCTGCAATGACATAAGATGATTCTTTACGGCAGGATAAAATTCCATTGTGTATTTATACCCATTTTCTTTATTCATCCCTGGATGGACACCTAGGCTGGTTCATAGTTCGGTCATTGTGGTTTGTGCTGCTGTAAATGCAGGGTATGGATGTGTCATGTAGAAGATGACTTTAATTCTTCAGGGTTAATACTTAGGAGAGGCAGATCTGGGTCATATGGTGTTCCATGCCTAGTCTGATTTCCTTCCTGGCTGCACTAATTTACAATCCCCCCATAGTGTAAAAAGTGTTCCTTTTTTCTCCACATCCTTTTTGTTATTGTTTGTATTCTAGAAGACCGCCATGCTGACTGGGGTGAGATGAAATCTCAGTGAAGTTTTTATTTGCATTTTCCTAATTGCTAAAGATGTCAAACATTTTTTCACATATTTATTTACCATTTGTATTTGTGAAGTGTCTTATGTAGTTCATTTCCTCATTTGTTGATTGGATTTTTTTTGGTGTGGAAAATTTTTTGAGTTCTTGATATGTTTTGGATATGAATCTCCTATTGTAGGAGCAGTTAGCAAAGATTTTTCTCCCATTTGTAGGTTCTCTCTTCACACTTTATTTTTTTTTTATTTTTTAGTTGTTGATAGACACAATATCTTTATTTATTTTCATATGGTGCTGAGGATCAAACCCAGTGCCTCACACATGCTAGGCGAGTGCTCTGCCACTGAGCTATAGCCCCAGCTCCTTCTCTTCACACTTCTAATTGTTCCCTGGGCTGTGCAGAAGCTTTTTAACATGATGCCATCCCATTTATTAATTCTTGGTTTTATTTCCTAAGCTTTGGGGTCCTATTGAGAAAGACCCCCAGCCTGTGCCTGTGTGCTGGAGGGTTGACCCTATGTTTTCTTTTAGGAGCTGCATAGTTTCTTTCTTTCTTTTTTTTTTTTTTTGTGGTGCTGGGGATTGAACCCAGGGCCTTGTGCATGTGAGGCAAGCCCTCTACCAGCTGAGCTATAACCCCAGCCCACTGGAGTTGCATAGTTTCTGGGCTAATTCCTAAGTCTTTGATTTCTTCTTGAGTTGATTTTTGTGCATTTTGGAAGAGAAAAGTTTTGTCATAATAAATGATCCAGTATTGATTTCATTGCCAACTATAGTCTCCAGTTTGCATAAGGATTCACTCTTAGTGTTGCACCTTCTGTGGTTTTGACAGATGTACAATGATGGGTTTCCACCATTATACACCATGCAGAGGAGAGTCCCTGCTCTGGAAACCAGCTGCTGTGGCATTTCCACAGTCTCCCCCTCTTCTTTGACTACTTCACTGGGGTCTTAGTTGAGGGGTGAACACCTTCATACTTTTCAATACATGTCGCCTCTTTGCTCAAGATCATGTTTATAGTGCTATGCGGGATGTAGAAACATATCCATTCCCCATTGACCTTTTAATGTTTGATTTTATTATTTTAGTTATTGCTGCCAATTTCAGATTAAGTTTTTAAAAAATTCTAGAATAACTTGTAATTACCAAGCAGTTAATGCTTATTTAAAAATCCCAACGATACATGTGTTTACCCATTGAACACATTGAGTGACTGCTGGATACTAGACCCTCTTGTGGGCCTGGAGACTACGGAGAACCAGATGGACATGGCTATTGTCTCTGAGGAGCTCCCACTGGGGAAAGACAGGTTCTCAAGCCACATTAAGCACTGGTGGTAGCATGTGGCTGCTGGCGATGTGTCCACAAGGCCCGGGAAGGGATGGGCCAGTTGGAATCACCCGTGAAGCTCCAAAAACATTTTAGAGCCCCTCTGGCATCAAGGGCACCAGAACCCGGCATGGGTACCAGGAAGGCCACCGGGCCACTCAGAACATGCAGCACGGAGTCCGTGTGGGCTGGGAGTGTGTGGACTTGGTTCAGTTGGGATGGCAAGGAAGTCCTTCTCAGTGAAGTCCATTTACGTGGGGACTCCTAGGAGGGAGCCACTGGACATGGACGGGCAGCCTGAGCAGGTGCAGGGCTCTGGGAGCTCTGAGGTAGGCGTGGCCTGGCGAGTCACCACCCACCCCCTGCTGCTGCCAGGGACTCGGAACTGCTGGGGCCTGGGCTGAGAGCAGGGAGACCCTTTCCTGATCCTGGAGCTCTCTGTGCACCTGACCTCCCCGTTGGGGCTTGGGGTTGGTTGACCTCAGGCCACAGGTGGGAAAACAAGGGTGAGAGCCCCTTCTGGGGGGTGGTCTTTGAGCCCTGGTCTCCTCTGGTGCCCATCTGCTGCCTTTGGGTTGTCAGAGCTCTGGAGCAGCTGGTGGTGAGTTCTGCCCAGTGTCAGGCCTCCGGAGTGGGAGTGGGACGCTCTGGGCCCTGAGCTGGGCTGGCTGAGGTGAGGCCCCCTCTCCCTGGCCAGCTTGTGATGCCCCATGGCTTAGATAAGCAAACTCCTCGGGTGGAACACAAGGTTGGCTTGATTTTAATATCATCACTGATGTGATGGTGCTATTCCACACACCTGAGTCTTTGGGCCCCTCTCTGACTGCTTTTGGAAGGGGAATTGGTGAATCAGAGTCTGAATACATTTAAGCCTTAGGTCCAGGGCCTGACCACCCCGGACCACAGGGGGAGCACAGGGGGAGCCCGGAGTCCACAGTCCTGTGGGCCTCCTCAGTGGCAGGAGAACCTGGCCCTCTGCCTGCCTCTTGCCTCTCCTTTCCCCGCTTCCCACCCCCAGAACTCACCCTCTCACGGGTTTCATCTGGCGGTGGTTTCCCAGAGAGACCCCATGCACGGGTGCCCATCACGCCCTGCCCCTCCAGCCCTCCATGAGAAGCCCGTCTCAGGCCCTGATCCGGGGAGCTTGACCAAGGCTTGGAAACCTAAAATTTTTGGCTCATTGCTAATTTCGACAATGATTTTTTGGGGGGAATTTTATACAGATCCTTACTTATTTGATCTTTTCCTTGGATTCATTTATTTTCTTCCTGCCAGAGTCAACTTTCCTGGGATTTTCTCAAAGAGGGCTTTGTGGAGCAGGTTCTTTGAAACCGTGTGCGTGAGAATGGCGCTGTTCCTTCCTTGAGTTGGCTGATTTAATTAGCTGTACTGTTTTAGGTTAAACATGCTTTTCTTTCAAAATATTATGCCATTACTTTGCAGTGTCCTGTCCTGCGGCCACTGAGAGGCCTGGGGAAGGCCCTCCTTCCGTTCCTTTGTGGGTGTCGTGGTTGGATGCGTCCCCTGGCAGGTATGCTGTGGATCTAGCCCTCGGTACCGTGAACGTGAGCTGGTTTGGAAGAAGGGGAGTCTCAGATGCCGTGGTCAGGACTGGGGCCGTCCTGGGGCAGGGTGAGCCCTGATCCACATGCCTGGGGCCCTTTAGAGAGGAGATGAGGATGCAGCCACACGAGGGTGGGGTGGGGGAAGGCCGTGCCAGGTGGGGGCTAACTCGAGTGATGGCACTGGGAGTGGAGGGGACCAGCACTGCCTGCCCCCACCTGGACTTGGGACCTCGGTCGACTGTGAGAGGGCAGATTCTGTTGCTGGAACCCCCACCCCACTCGGGCACTGTGCTGTGGCGGCCCTGGGAGACTGGCCATATCTGGTGAGGGCCATATCTATTTCAATGTATGGCAGGAAGCAGCAAGTGGACATGTTTGGAAAAGGCAGGCCACCAGAGACACCCCAACTGTGTAACAATGTGTGCTCCTGGTGACTAACCTAGTTCCTGAGAAAGGCGTCAACCCTTCTTAAGGATCTGAGCACCTCTTAAAGGCCCACGACCACTCGGCAGTCTGTTGACCATACGCCCTGTGTCTCGAAGCGGGCAAGGCAGGTCCAACCACAGCGCCTGTGTAACGGCACTTAATTAAGAAATCTTAATTCAGCTTCTCCAGAAACCCTTGCCATTATTGTTCTTAGACTCTCAGCAAAAATTTCTGCAAAAGGATTTTCAGGCGGGGCGGGGGTGTTTGCAGAAGCAGAGTGTGATAGGAGAGACCAACCCAAGCCTTCACAGAGGACTTTCAAAAGACACTAGTTAGGTCCAGCTGGGGTGGGGGAGCTCTCCCTTCCCCAAGCACTGATTTTCACAGAGAGCGACCTTGGGGGTTATTTTTGTAGAACCTGCCCTGAGTTGGATGCCCAGAAGAGTGGGAAAAAACTACTATTATGTGGATTTCTGCAGATTGTGAGCCTCTGAATTCCTCCCCCCAACACACTGGGTATAAAGTTCCAAAACTTTCTGAACTCTGGGTTCAGAGGGATTGAATGATTGTGGCGAAAGCCTTTTTCCCCTCTGGACCTGGCTGCAGCCAATAAACCTGCTTCCTGCCAATCCCTCGGTGTCCAGCCTGTCTGTCCTGCAACTCCTGGGCTCCAGATTCTGGAACCCCGGGCTTGAGAGCCCAGCACTGGGCTGGTGTCCATGGAGGTCACAGCTTCACAGGGGCAGGGGCCCCACCCACAGGGGCCCCACCCACAACCAGCCAGTCCAGGTCACCCTTCTGGAAGGTGTAAAGTCCAAGATGGTGTAGCCATATCTGGTGAGGTGTCCCTCAGTGGCCCACACCAAAGAGCGAGCTGCAGATGAAGGACAGGCCAGGCGTAGCTCCCTGGACGCCACCCCAGGAGGCCCAGCAGGTCCCACCCCTCCAACATCACCCCCCTCCAGGCACTGTTCCCCAGGGGTGGTCCTGGGCCGCATCCCCCCAGCACAATCACACACTCATTGCCTGTGGGTGAGTGGCTGCTGGCTGTGACAGTCAAGCTGGTGTGTCACCTTGGCTGGGCTGTGGTGAGCAGCCACTTGGTCGAGCACTAGTCTGTATGCTGCTGTGAAGACGTGCCTTAGAGGTGACTGACATCGCACCAGTAGACTGTTGGTCAAGCAGGTCAGAGGGGCCAGTCCCTCCAGGAGTCCCCAAGCCTGGCGTCTGGAGTGACGGCTTCCTGGCTGGGGACCGTGTGGACATGGACAAGCTCCTTTCAGACTCACTGGTCAAGAATGTCAGCCCCCAGGAGGGCTGTGCCTCCTGACCACGGGGGTGCTATGTGGGGAGGAGAGAGGGGCCGTGGAAATGACTGCATGGCCCAGCTGGCCTGGGGCCTCCTGGGTTCAGGGCCAACTTGGACGAGCACCCACCTCTGCACGCTGGAGTGCCTCTGGTGGCGTACAGACAGGACGCGGAAGGTCTTGTGTTTTCAGGCTGTATGGCCTGCAGATGGTGCTTACTCACCAGAGCCCTCCACTGCCCAGGGGTCAAGCCAAGCCTCTGGTCTCTGTGTCCCACGGGGGTGCAAAGCTTGGGCTGCGGCTGGTTGGGTGGCAGCAATGGACCAGGCAGATGGCAATAACCTCACGGTATTCTGGGAACTTCTTGCATCTGATGACCCTGAGGGACCCCCGCAGAAGAAATCACGTTCCCCTCAGCACTCTGTGACATGAATAAGACTTCTGTTTTGGTGAACTGTGACTCAGTTCGCAGAGTGTTTGCCGTGACGTTCCCGGGGAGTGAGGCAAGTGTGCCCCAGGCTGTCCCTGCTAGGCCATCCTCCTTGTGCCTGTGGTAATGTGTGAGGTGGTCTGCGCCTCCTTTAGCAGCCATGGTCATTTATGGAGCTGGGGGAGGGAACCGGGGCACGCGAGGCACACACTCTTCCACCCTGTCGCTCCCCCACCTCCTATCATTCCCTGCTCAAAAGCCCCTCAGAAATCACCTAGGAGAGCCTGACCTCCAGAGGAACCCTCTTCTACCCACACCGTGCCCGTTTCTAGAAGTCCAAAGTAACCAGAGTGGTTTCCTGTGCGTAACCTCCAGTCCGGTGTCCAGGGAGTGCCTGGCCCAGGCAATTGGCAGGGACATAAACTTCAGATCCTTTAACCAGGTCAGGTGGCACGGTCTAATTATTCAGAGAGAAAAACAACAGACTTGAATCACGGGACCTGGTTTGGGTCCTGCTTCTACCTCCCTGAGCCTCGGTTCTTCATCTCAGGGTGCTCAGGACCTGCCTCCTGGGGGGCACTGGGAGAACCAGCCAAGGACCGTGCGTGTCATGTGTCACCAGACGGAGATGTTGGGAGGGAGGGCACAACTGTGGGGTGACTACCTTCTCTGCTCTCACATCTCAACTTGCTGGAAGTCGTTCCGTCTGTTGAACGGAGTCAGCTTCCTGGTCCCCGAAGCCCAGTGGTCCTCGTCTTTCTTAGTCTTTATCTTTGGAGCAAAATGCAGTGATCTTTTTCCTGTGGCGACCCTCGTGGAGTCAAGAGCTGTCCTGCACCTGTGTCTGCCCCAGCTCTGTGCTCGGTTCCCTCCACCACCCCAGTACCACGTCATTTCAGAACCGGGCACCCTCTTCACTGGACCGTCTGGGCTGTCTTGAAAGTGAGTGTCCAGAAGGGAAGAGAATATTCCAAACCACCGTCCTGGGGAAGGAGCGCGCTCAGCAGCTCTGGAGCCTGTACCTGCTGCAGGACTAATGCAGAGCCCTTTCTACCTGCTCCCCTGGAATTTTATCTGTGCCTGGTCAGTCTCTCTGCTGGCTGAGTAACCGGTGTTGTGGGCTAGAGCCACAGTCCTCCCAAGATAGCGGTGAGCCAGGCTGGCCTCCCACCAGCTCCCGGCAGCCATCGTGGAATGGTTGGGAATTTCGCCATCGGGTTGTAGGATGGAGAGCTTGCACTCGACGTAGTAGGGATGTGTAACTGTGGAAACTGGCGGACCTCTACCTGAGGAGAGGAGTTTGGTTTTCCTCCTGGAAAGCGGCAGGTAATGAGGAGAACCGGCTGTCAGTCATTCCTCAAGAAAAAGATACAAAGCCATTCTGGGTTCAACACGGGCCACTGTAGATCTCCGTGAACCTGAACTTTGCCTGGAAACTGGACTGAGAAAATAGAAGACTGTGGGCACCCTCAGCCTGACACCACGGTTTCATTTCACTGTGGTCAACTAAGAAGTGGTGGGGAAGGAATGGAAACTCAGTTGACATTCAGGTCTGGGTTTTTAAAAAGAACTTGCCATTTGGGAAGATGATAAAAAGCCTTGATCTTAAGGCTGGGTTGGATTTGGGCAGAGTTTGAATGTGGCCGATCCCAAGAGTAGGTGCAGAGTTTCTCAAGGAGCAATTCACTTTTTGGAGCGTTTCTTGGGTTCTGAAATTTCAGCAAGCCAATGCGCAACTTTTCCTTGTGGGACAACAATTCTCCTTTGAGAGTCTCCAAGGCTAATGTTGCTGAGATTGACAGATAGGCCAAACATGGAAAGCCTTAATTTTTTTCTTTTCCAAAATATATTTAACTTCAGTAAAACCTTGAGCCAAGCCTCTTGCAGATGGCAGACAGCTTAATTGCTGTGGCAAAGTTGTCTGACGTTTTTTGGAAAACTTTGGGTGCTATGCTAATCCACCAAACCCAGAGAAAACAGATCCCAACCCACACAAAGACACGCATGTGGCCCAGCATCTCAGCTTGGCTGTCCAAGCCGCGTCCAAGACGCTCTTGCCACCCTTCTCTGTGAGGCTTTTGTATGGCTTGCAAGTCTGGTAGGGATTATTTGGACAGCAAATCCAGAGAGGCCAAGATGAAGTGAATCAGCCTTACTGTTTCTCCTCCACCTCATTCGTCTTCCTGGAAACTCTGAGGTGGCGAATGCAGCAGTTGGCTGTATCCGTGTTTCCTTTATGTATTTACTTAGTTTTCCATTTTGCAGGTGCTTTGTGCCGCCCAGTTGACTCACACCCCCCAGTCCTCTGGGTGGCGCTGGTTGAATTGCAATGGGCAGCCTCACACCTTGGTATGCATGTGGGCACCGGGGACGGTGGGCTCCCTTTTCTTGGGCAATGCATTAAAAAAAAATTCTAAATAATATAAAGTATTGTTTTTAAATGAATGACTTCTGATTCCACATAGAAGTTATGAGCTGGGGAATGTGAGAAAAATCATTCCTGCAGGTTGCCAATGAATCACTGCAGCTAAGACGGCTGCCATCCTAATGGCGAAGTCAAAGATAAAACCCAGTGGAGAGAATCTTTGTTCATGACCAGGACCTGGGGCCCTGGAGTTTGGTGACCTTTTCTCAACTGTGTTTAAAACCCTAGCAAACATGGAGGCAGCCAGGGTGCTTGTGCCTCCATAGCTCTGTTTAACCAGTTTCCTGCACACATGACGCTGTGCCATGGACGAGTTCTCGGTCTACACAGAGGTTCCTCAACCTGGAAGGGCAACGGTCTCTGGGGAGCTTGAGGGAATACATGGTCTTGGGCCCTTACCTGGGACAGATGGATCAGTCTGTGTGGGGCCAGGAAGTCTGCATTTTAAATGTGTGTCCAGATGGTTCTGGGGGAGCCTGGGCAACTTGCATGCACAGTTTTTCTTATATCCCCCAACTTTATATCATTAAGAAACTTTATATTTTAGAGGCAGAACTGCCGCTGCTCACATGGTTCTCTTTATCATGGGGGAAAACTTTTTGAGATCCCTTGCTCTCCCCAGGTTTCTTGCAGCCCACCTGCTTGCTCAGGCAGTGCCCAGCCCTCACCGAAGCGCCCATCCTCCGCAGGCTGAGCATAGGCCACGGTGGGTCCAACCTCAGGCTCATGCAGGTCCAGGCCTCCCAGGGCCTCCAGGCCCTCCCCTCCTTCTCGGCTGAAGGCTGGGGTTCTCCTTGGGGCCTCCTCTCTCTCTGCCTGGGAGAGTAAGCGTCTGGTCCCCTGTCCAGGGCTCTGAGATAGGTTTCTGGATGTTTCCAGAGACTCTGCATCCCAGCCCTTGGGGTGTGGCCCACTAGGAGTCAGGTTCCCGCTGATTCTTGCTCTTTTCTCCTGCCCAGGATCTGCTGGGTCAGAGTCAGGGGCTGGCTGTTCTCCGCTCACCCCTGGAAGGGAGCCTCCTGCCTTGGGGAGGAAGCTCAAGGAGCTGCCACCTCTGCTTGTTCCCAGGTGCTACTGAGCTTAGAAAACCCTTTTCTATGAGGAGCGACATCTTGCTGGGATGCGGAGGAGAATCCACTTCACAGTTGAGGGAAAGCCTGTCATACAGTGAAGCATCTGCAGGAGCAGGCCCTGGCTACAGGGCCGTGGCCAAGAGCTTCCTGTCCTGCCCGAGGCCTGGGCAAGAAGAGCCCTGCCTTGGCCTCTCCTGGGGCAGTAGTCTTGGGGCTAAGAGGGCTAGATGGGGCCTGAGGTCTGGATGCAGGAATTCCCACCCACATGGTCCCAGGGCTGCTGCTTCCGAGGCTCTGCCTCCTGGGGAAAGACCTGGGCAGACCGTGCACCCCTAGGCCCAGGGCATGGCCATGGGGCACTGTTCATGGAGAGCCCAGTCTGTCCAGGCAATGC